CAGAGATGGTAGAGCTGTCCCCATAGCGTTTGCGAGTCGTACTTTCTCAAACAACCAACTTAGATATAGCATGTATTTAAAGGAGTTTGCTGCCGTACTTTTTGGTTTAGAAAAATTTAAAGATTATTTGGCAGACAGACCATTTGTCATTAAAACTGACTGCATGGCTATTACGTATGTGATGGGTTGCGATAAAAGTGTCGGAATGTTAGCTAGATGGAAACTACGACTCTCACAATTTCCTTTTGCCAAGATCGAACATTGTAGGGGCACCCAAAACATTGTGAGTGATACTCTGAGTCGAATGTTCGAACCTGAAGAAGCTATAAAACAAAACAATACTCCAAAACCTGATCAAGTTTGTTTTTTACAACATTTTCCAGAAACGTTCGAATCACTCAGTGATAAGCAGAGGGAAGATGAAACCCTAGGTAAAATCATCACTGATCTGGAGAATGGTATAACTGTACCTCATTATTGTATAAAAAAGGGCATTCTAAGATTCCAGAGAAACATCAAATGTTCCCCAAAGATTGTGGTACCTAGTTCAATGCGTGTTATGATGATGAAATATTTCCACGACATATCCATTCACTCTCATTGGGGCATAAAAAAGACTACAGCACGCCTAATAAAGAATTTTACATGGATGGAGTTTTTAACGACGTAAAAAATTACGTACGTTCATGTGAACTATGTCAACTCTCGAAACCAGCCCAGAATTTGCAGATAGGTTTGATGAACTCAAAACCACCCCAGAAATGTTTTGAACGACTCCACATTGATATGTTTGGTCCACTAGTAAGATCTGTTTCAGGAAATGCTTATGCTTTTGTATGTATTGATTCATTCTCTAAGTTCAGCTGGATTATTCCAATGAGAAAAGCAGATTCAAAGACAATAATTAATGCGTTAAAGGATAAGATTTTTTCACAACATGGGTTGCCAGAAACCATTGTATCGGACAATGCATCCATTTTCAAGTCCGAAATGTTTAGGAGTTTTTTATTTGGTTTAGGGGTGAAACACATAACTACATCAGTGGCTAGGCCTAATTCAAATCAATCCGAGAGATTAAATAGAAATCTCAAAATGATACTCAAAATCTATCATTCTCAAACCCAAAAGAAATGGGACGAAAATATACCTTTCCTTTGTATGGGATTGAACTCTGCATTACACGAAACTACAGGTGTGACTCCAGCTTATGCATTCCTTGGTAGAGAGTTAAACCATTCACTCAAACTACACTGGGACCTTGGCGATGAATGCTCGACTGAAACAGCCGAGGATAGAGTGAGTAAAATATTAGAACACTCTAAGAAAGCTCATCAAAAGATAAAGGAGAGATACAATAAAAATAGAAAACCGTCTCCATATACTGAAGGTGATCTGGTATTATACAAAAAATATACGCCTAGTAACAAAGCAAATAAAATCAGTCATAAGCTAACTCATACCTGGGATGGACCGTATACTGTAATTAAAGTATTAAATCAGGTAAATGTAAAAATCCGTCTGAATCGGGACCCATCCATTGCGAAAGTAGTTCATGTATGTCAGATAAAAAAGTATTATTCGAGAGATTAGAAAAAAATCATTGTTGTTAATGCCTACGTTTGTTTGAGGGGGTACCGACTCGTTTTTTTTAAACACAATATTGTTAATTTTAAGGCGGTAACACCAAACCATTTTTTTCTCCAACAGTGAATAGTGTGAAGAGAAATGTCACCCGTCGCTGTGAGTGTTTTGGGAGACTCGCAAGGGGTCAGGCTGGTCAGAGTGGGCGGCGGACAACAATCAACTACACAACAATGGTCGATTGAACACAGTGTTGCTCACGGCGGATGGACTACTCAAGATCTCAAGTGCGCTATCAGAAACCAAGTGTCAGTGCTAAAACCCACATGCATAATTTTCATTGGAATTAATGACATTTTCAAATCCATTGCCCCAGAGAAAACCAAAATCAATATAAAGACAATTATCCGTTTACTGAAATCCCACAACAAAACCATCTACATTACCACCCTCCCTCCCACTTTACATACCCCCCATATTCAACCCAAAATTAAATCCTTAAATATTTTTATCCAGTCTTTAAATAATCCTCCATCCATTCAATCAATAAAATTCCATAAACTATTCCCACCATTCGCACCAATGAATCTATCATTATACAACAAGAAGTATCGAAATGGGAAGCCAGACAACGTACACCTATCAAGTACAGGTTCAAACAGCTGGTGCGCCACATCTCGATGACCACACTCGGCGCCACACACGAGTCGATGACCTACTCCCCACCCCACCCGCCCCACTCTATCGCCAACAGCTGATCGCCGATAGTGAACCATGAATGAACTGCTGCTGTCTGCTTCATTGAGTGCTAGGTAATTCTACAGTGTGGTTAAGCGTGCGCGTTTTTCACCACTCGTGTGGAGTAGATGTAAGTGGTAATTTGTGAGACACTTTGGTGTCAGGTATTGTCAGCTCTCCCATCTCAAATCGCTCTCGCCCTCAGTACAAATAGAAATAAGGCAAACAAATGAAATGAAAAAAAATGGAAAATGGAAAAAAAAGAGAAAATAAATGTTAAGCAAAAAAAAAATAGAAATAAGAAAAAATGAAAAAAAAATTGTTTTAAAATAAAATTTTTCCCAGCATGTTTTTCACACTTTGAAAATATTAATATTGAATATTTATTATATGAGTATTATTCAAAAAAATGTAAATGTGAAGAAATTGTTTCGTGTTTAAATGTATGTAAATTGTAACTGTGTAAATGTGAAACTGTTGTGTAAACGTCTCTCCGCCGTCACAAGCGTCGCGTCGCGCCGCCGGTTTGAAAATTGTCCCGGGTTGGACGAAGTCTTCTTGCGGACCTTGTGGTCGCTCGGGCCAATTTTTTTGGCAAGGGGGCATCATGTACCGATTCAAAATGAATGACCAAATGAAAATTCAAATCAAACTGAAAACGCGCGAAGGCAAGGACCAACAACGGCCAATCACGTGAGCGCGGAGGAACACCAATTTGCTGACTTGTGCGGACGTCTTTTTCTAACGGTCACTTGGGACCAAGCTCTGAGCCGCGATGTACGGAAATCTTTAAATTCTCCTTTTCAATTTGCAAAAATCACTTTTGGTAGTCGTAACGTGTATTTCGTCAACGAATCAATTGTTCGATCTCCGGAGTGCATTGATATCTAAAACCGTGAAACAGCATTTACTAAATTACGAATTGAAACAAAACGAGTCTTTAAGTTCGACGTCGACCGGCAAAATTCGTCAGATTTGACCATTTTCGTAGAGCCTATCCCAAGTATAGTGTCGTAATTATATGTTTATGTGTCGTCAAAATTGTCTTCTGTGTATGTAAGTAAATGTTTTGTGTAAATTGTATTTATATCATTAGGAGAAGCCAATCTGTCCACATTCATATTTGTTTAATCATGTTTCTTGCAGGTTTCATGTCTTAGTGTGTAAATTCAGTCACATTGCTTTAGAATTATTGCCATTTACTTATTTTAAAATACATACTGTGATACATTTGTAG